ATCAAAGCAGGAAAGCTGCTAATATGTGCAGTGTCAGGTAACTTGAGCGCTGCAGCTGATATTCAGAAAAGAGCAACCAAAAATGATCAAAGAGAGACTATGAAGAAAATTTGCAGCATATGGGACTTTTTAGTTTCAAGAAAAGGCGAGTAAGAGGTGGCTTAATAGTTTAGAAAAGTATGCACGGCATACCCTCCAACATTTCTCCGATGAAAATAGGAACGTCCCATTCCATAATGATAATTTTACTATTTATAAATATAAATCTTACTGGGTTGCCCCAGCCACTCTGGGCAGCTTCCAACATATATAAAAACATAATAAAACATTAATTTAATTTTTTTTAAAAAAAAAAACGTCCCTATACAGGATTGCCTTCAAACAGCTTGGGGGTCAGGTAACTCCATACCTTTCAACATTGCTCCAATGAAAATAGGGACCTCCTAAGGAAAGGTGGGATACTGGGATCAAATCAGAAACTAGGACAACTTCTCTAAATCAGGGACGTCCCTGGAAAATAGGGTCTGCCATGGCATGGAGAAAATAGAGAAAATGTTTCCTTCCTTTCTTCCTCTCTCATAACACCAGATTCAGGACAAATAAAAGAAAGTAGTTCCTAACACTGCACATAGCTAAACTATGGAACTCGCTCCCACAGGAGCCCGTCATAGCCACCAAAGTAGATAGCTTCAAAAGAGGATTAGACAAATAACTGGAAGAGAAGGCTGTCATTCCTCTGACTGCCAGTTACAGGGAAGCTCCTGGTGATGAAAAATCAGGGCAGAGGGGCTCCTCCCCACAGCTTTGCTCTGTCACTGGCAGTGCCGGGGGGGGGACGCTTCAAACTCAAAGACCAAAAACTGCCCTCTAGGCTTCTCTGTCTGGCCCCAAGACCACACCCCTCACCGGGCCACGCCTTTCCATGGCCCCGCTCCATGCCTTCCTGAAATATGCTCTTAAACTGTGATCATGTCCGTTGGTTGCATGGATGGAAAAATGTGGGTGGTTGTCAGAAACGCCTGACTAGAGTCTGATTTTTTAAATTTAAAAATGCTGTACAACAGTGAGACTCACTTCTTCTGCTCCACCCACTTTTGCACTGAATCCCACCCGCTATTGGCATGTGCCCATGTTGTCCAAACTGAATGTGGATCTTGGACTGAAAAGGATTCCCCACCACTGGCCTAGGGAACCCCTCCCCATCCATCACTGTCAATAAAGCAATGTAGGTTCCTCGAACAGCCATTGTCAAATTCCTAAGAGCACAGGTCAGTTTAGTAGGTGATTCTCTCAAGCACCCATCATTCCTGACTGCTTAGATATGAGGTTTGATCATCAGATGTTCTTTTGCTTTTAGAACACTATAGGGACTTGTAAATGACTTGTTTTAGAATAATCCTACTCCTTAGAAGCGGGTGGCGCTGTGGGTAAAACCTCAGCGCCTAGGACTTGCCGATCGCATGGT